CCCCAAAACCCCAAAACCCCAAAACCCCAAAACCCCAAAACCCCAAAACCCCAAAACCCCAGGACATTTAGAAGTAGCTGAAATTTTAGATTTTAGATCAAAGAACAATGCTTGAGCTTGTTTGGTTTATATGAAAGATAGCAATCTGGATACTCTGTTTCATTATTGCAGCAGTGTTTTATCTTGCCGTTGTAAAGCCCTACCTTTTTAGAAGAAAGTATGGCAAGTATAGTAATGTTTATATGGACAAAGGTTTTATTCCATTACTTGGAGATTTGATATATCATGTTTATGATGAGAAAGCCAATAAGGTTCACTATGATCATCTCAGAAAGATAGCAAATGAGGTCCATAAGTATGATCTTAAGGTTGAAGTAGAAGGGATGACACCGATGCTGGTCTTTATTTCAAACAAAGCTGTCAAGGAAGTTATTTCTTTGATGCCTGATAAAGTTGATAAAATTAGCTGGCCAAAAGGCTTGATGAAGATGGCAGTCGGATCTTTTTCAATGAATCCAACCACACATAACACAAAATCTAGAAGAAAGGAAATCTTTAACATTCTTGGTCTAAACTCAGCTTCGAGATATATCCCCTTAATGGTAGATAGAACAAAAGAGTTCCTTGAAAAGATCAGAAAAGAGAAGAAAGTTGACTTTTTGCATGAAGCAAATTTCTTAACTTTCAAAATCTTCATTTTCATTTTATTCGGAAATGATATGCACCATCTCACAGAGAAGAAGTATCCTTTTGAGAGGCCAGATGGAACAATTGATCATATCACTCTTTGTGAAATCTTTATCCAGCTGGGGAAGGATTATATGGTAGAGTTCATCCATCCAATCACTAGTCTTATCCCGCCTCTGAATGATTACAACTTCATCGGGCCTTGGAGGAGAAACAATAAAAACTTTACCGTTTTTAAAGATGCCTTAAGAGAAATGATTTCAGAGTCAAAGGACCAGAATTCTTTGTGGAACATGATGTCTCAGTTGAACCAGTTCACAGATGACGAGATCTTCCATGATTTAGTACTTCTTATGATTGGTGGTAGCGAAACTTCTTCTCATTGCCTATGCTCCATTTTCTACTATCTTGCAAAGTTTCCAGAGGCCAGGAAGAAACTGAGGGAAGAATTAGATAAATTTGGGTTAAAGAAAGGCTCGAATTTGGAAGCATCTATCAAAATGGAGGTTATTGAAAAACTTGATTACCTCTCTTGGGTCATCAAAGAAGCCCTTAGGATGGATCCTCCAATTCCTACAAGCTTTTTCTACGAAGCAAAAGAAGATATCAAGATTGCAGATGTACCAATTGACAAAGGAACCCTCTTCAAATTTGAAGTTGTAGGGCCTCACTACAATGAAGACTATTGGATCGAGCCTGCCAAGTTCATTCCGGATAGATTTGACCCAGAATCCGAGATCTATCAAGACTCTATGAAGCAAGACAAAGGAAAGGGAGTGTTCTCAAGAAGATATTTCGGACAAGGTATTAGAGGCTGTCCTGGCCAATCCTTCGGTACACTTGAGCTCAAGATAATGGTAAGCTATCTATTCCCTGAGATGGACTATACTGTTGAACAAGAACTCCTTGACAATGATGACATTGGTTTTGGAATCGGGACTCATTTTAAAGCGAATTTTGAGATCAAATCCTAAACAGTTACTTCGTTGAGAATTTTGCATTAGCTATCCTTTCAATTCTTTGAAAAGTTATAGGGGTTTTGGGGTTTTGGGGTTTTGGGGTTTTGGGG